TTCATGTTTTTTCAAGTAACTTTACTAGATGGGAAGTTCACGCCGCCATGTTTGGCGAGCTATGTCTAGTTTTAACTTATCTTCCCCTTGAGAAACAGGTAAAACTCACTTTTGTGGGTTGCTTTTTTTGGGGTGGAGCTGAAAATTTGAAAGAATGTGTTGTCATCGGCAACGAGTCTATGTACCAAGTTTTAGCGCGATGGGTTGACGGGAAATGGGTCAATTAACCGTCCGAACATTTTGCCCCCCAGCCAGCCACGAACAAAAGCGAAGTTAATATAAAAGGATTTTAAATATATATATATATATCGTTGACTTATGTATGCCATCTGTTCTTCTCTAGCATAACAACATCTGGAAGGACTGGTATTTAGCCATCATACTGGGAATGGCTCTGGTGTTTATACTCGTGGTGGGAGCAATCATCTACCGAGCTAAAGCGTGAGTGTTTTGTCGTTGTTTAATGTCAATAGTAAAGTTTTAACGTTTTAAATTACGAGTTGATAGAATATTCCAATGTTAATACAAAGTTTTCTACTCTAAAATAATGTGTTTTTTTTTCAAGCGATTTTAAGAAATAATTTGTAAAAAATAAAATTTAAAAAAAATTGATTTTGTAGGGTTTTTTTGTTTTAAAAAGTTTTAATGCATAGATAAATAGTGATCGTAAGTCTAATTTTAAAGTAGTATTTTCTTCAATAACAGAAAAAAACGTTACAAAATAAATGAGACCCTGAATCAAGAACCAGCCCCTGAAATCCAGACTTCCAAGTCTCGTCAGTTTGACAACGCCGCGTACCAAGCGTCCGATCCTAGCAACATCATCCACTCCAGCCCCATCGCCCCCTCCAGCCCCATCGTCCATTCCCACCAGCCCCACGCATTCAACGACAAAGATTTCCATGGAGAATATTGTAATCTACCCAACGGAACATTCCGCGACATAGACACGAGTGGATTAAGACCCGTGGCGCATTCTGGAGGGGGATACCATAACAGGGGCTGCAGCGACGATGTTGGTGAACCGCTGCGCCTGGAGAATCCGGCGTTCAACCATGGCTACGGCACGAATGCCAATATGTACCAAGAACCGTTTGCTGAGCATGGTGAGAGACATGGAGTGTATGACGTTAGGACGGACAATCTCAAACACCCAGCATCTAGTGCAGTCTCTTCGCCTGAGTTCGGACACAATCATTTCAACAGGGATCTGTCTGGTAACCCACTACAACAATCGACCATTCCAACCTCTCCGAAGCCGGTAGCAGTCATTGTGGGGGTGAAAAACCTGGATGCAAATTTAGTGTCGAAGAAGCCGGTCCCAATGAAGGGTAGTGTGGACGTTTCGAACCACAGGGTAACTCAGAACAGCAATGTATCTGAATACAGCAGATCACCTCAGATCAGCAATGTACCTCGGTTTGGCTCTACATTTAGAGACAGCCAGGCCAGTGATAGGACGGAAAGTATTTATGAAGAGGTCAACACCGAGTTGACCAAAAAGCCTTTGAAGCCGGTGCCATTTCCTCGTTCTGTTTATAAGGCGAGAAGCGAGACACTGAAACGCAAGTTGTGTAACCTCAACAGCGGAGCTGAAAAACCAGGGGACAATGCAGAGCACGGGGTTTATTGTAATGTCCAAGATGTTGCCAGCGTGAGACCCGTCCCGTATGACGACGAAGACGGCTATTGTGTTCCGGTCATCGCCAGGCGAAAATCTGAAGGATGTCTCGCCGATGTCCAGTCGGGTGAAACATCTCACGGGGAGCCCCCCTCGCGAGATGAGGTAGGCGTGGTCAACCCAAGGGACACTGTCTACGTCACGTCCTCACCGGAGATGAGACGACTTCACGTGTGTTCTCCTCAAGACGAGTACCACACACCGTCTAATACACCCGACAGGCCGCATGCCAGTGTGTCTGCTCCTCAAAGCAACCACATCTTGCCACGTTCGTCCAGTGACGTCCAAGCAGCGGACAACGTTTACTGCAACGTGGGCCAGGTGTCACTCCCTGATCACCACGATCATCATCCACCGCACACAGCTGAGGAGTGGGGCGAGGGCGAAACCAGGCATCAACCATATTACACAGAAGACAGTGGCGGCTACGTGAACAGTGCAGCAGTTGCTCATTATTTAAAACTATAACAAAGTTGAAAATCTTACCTTATTACATTAGTTAAGTTAAAGTTGATTATATGATCTGATTAAGTTAGCTTAGTTAAAGTTGATGATGTGACCTTATTACATTAGCTTAGTTAAAGTTGATAATGTGACCTTATTACATTAGCTTAGTTAAAGTTGATAATGTGACCTTATTACATTAGCTTAGTTAAAGTTGATAATGTGACCTTATTACATTAGCTTAGTTAAAGTTGATGATGTGACCTTATTACATTGGCTTTGTTTAAGTTGATGATGAGACCTTATTACACTGACGTGTTTCATAGACATGACAACCATTGACATGCGACAATTTCAAACACATTTACAACGGATAAAGAGGATTTAATGAAAAAATGTGTTAATATAATTTTTTTTTTTTAAATACGATAATTAAACTATTTTCATAGATACAAAGCGTTTTACAATTTATTGAGACCTAACCTTAAAATGACATACATGTCACCGAACGGTCTGAACTGACGTAATCCAAATAGTGGTCTGGAGTTTCATCCCCACCAAAGACAACATACCAAGCACCCCTGTTAGATGGGACTCGCTAGCCTTGGACGGCAACTCATCGAAGAGAAGGTAAATTATGTATTCAAAATTCAAACCAGAAGCTAGAATGATCAATAAATTCATCGAGGGCCCTCAAAATATAGAAAATATAGGAGAAAAAAAACAAACACCTTCATTACAGTCATATTAAGCGTCTATTAAATTTGGTCGGAGCATTCCCAAGGATGAAAATATTTTTATGTCAAATATTTATTATCCAGAGAGCTGTTATTTAGGTAAAGTGCTTATTATATACAGACAGAGGTGTAGCGAGGAGGTGGAACGACTTTAATATACAACATCTATCACGGGCGTCACTCTGGGGGGAAAAAGTGTGTGGGGGGGTGCAAATTTCTGGTGAGAAGGACAATAAATTATATACTTTTTTAGCATCTGTAATATTTAGTACAACTATGTCTAACACAAGAAAAACTAACACCTCTGTTCAGCTTTGTGTCTAGGCGTTTAGTGACTAGCTACGAGCAAACCAACGTGGCCTGTTGCATCTCAGGTGGAGAAACACGGGCCGCATGCTTTGACAACAAAGGGAAGCCACTGTGACAATACAAAACAACGCCATCACAACAGTATCATAAAAATATCGCCTCTACAAGTACATTTGTGTAGCTTGATTCTGTTTGTTCCAAATCTTATACTGCATACAAATAGGTTTATCAAGCTTGGTAGGGGCGAACATTTAGTTCTTTTCGTGGGTGGCATAACAATATGCCCTCGTTACGCGCCCCTGCCTACAGAGCTCTTCATTAAAGTATGATAATGATTACCTAAAGAATTCACATTTTACACATTTTATTTTGATTTGTTTTTTTCAAAAAATTAAGTCTACCGAAGCAAATGACGTTTAATTTTATGTGATATTTCCAAACTAAAATGTGTAATGTCAGGGATGTTACAAGAACAAAACTTGAAGTTTAGATTTGCAAAGTTGTTTCAATTAGTTCTGAAGAGGAAGATTCAGAGGAAGATCGCTTAGAGCTAGCAGAAGAGATTAATTATAAAACTATGTCATTGACGACATCATAAAAAATAAATAAATAAACTCGTCTGGAGGTTAAAAATTACAATTTCCAAAGTTTTTTAGCTTGTTACGGTTGGTAAAAAAAAAAAAAAGGATGTTGAAACTCACTGCGCATGTCTTTCATGTGCCTAAAAGAAAGGGGCTACAAAAGGCCGATAACTGCAGCCTAGGCCTAGAATGGGAGTGAATTTCTTAAGTAACGATAAAAAGCTCCGAGTCTTATTACAGTTTTTGTTTTTTAAGATTTATTTTCGGGTTGTTAAACAAAAAAGTTATAGATCTAGTAATGTGCTAACTATGTAGGGAAATAAGCATGTCTCAATTTATATGTGTCACTTACATTACAAAATTCTTCATTTAATATTGTGCTATCATTTGGTAGAGAAAACATATTATTTATGTTGTGAAATGTTATGCTGTAGTCTTGCACACACAAAAAAATGCAAGAAAAGTTTTAATTGATTCAATAACCTTACCCCATCCCCACAAAACCAAACTAACGAACTAAAATTAAAAAAAAAAAACGCTTCTCAAAATCTATTAGCACAATCCTACTTGAGGGTCGGCACAATATGACAAATATTATCGAGGGGTCGCGGCGCCTACATACATATTTAAGAACAGCTGCATTAGTGTTTTTATTAAAGCAATGCACTTTTGCAACCTTTAACTTTGATGTATTCGTGGTCGCTACTGGTTAGACACTTATTTATAAATATACATAAATAAATAATCATATATATAATCATTGGATGGAACACATTTCTCATTTCCTATAAAATATAGTCTTAGATAATTCTTGAATTTTTATGCTCAGACAAGACTTTACATGCACTAAAAGGTAGAAAATAATTATTGTCTTCTTCTTCTATATATTAAGGGCTAACGATCAATGTATTGATCATTCTGGCCCATATGCATATAGAGGGGATTAGCAATGTTTCTGTGCCTGGTGTTGATGAGGATATTTCGCTGGTTGCAAGGACTACTCAGCTAGAGTACCACGAACTTGTGGTTGGAAGGCCTGTGGCAATAGACGCAAATGTGTTAAGTCTTGTCGCCTCAACTGTTACTGTTGGAAGCTTGTTCCAGTCCATGGTTGTCATTGGCATGAATGAGCAGCTCCCGTACTGAGTTCTTGTTGTTGTGAGCCGGAACTGACTGTCATGGCCTCGTCGGTGTCTATGGGGGAGAAAGACGAGTTTCTGTTTAATGCTAGAGCAGTGGACCAGCCCATTTTTAAAAATCTTTTAGCCTACATCGTGGAGAGCCTGGATAGTCGTCGTCGTTCCTCCAATGGTGACCAGCCTAGTGTTTCCAGCATGCTGCCAACACTAGAGATATTCCTGTAGCGGTTCAGGACAAAGCGTGCTGCCCGTCGATGGATCGCCTCAAACCTTTCGATGCTCTTCTGGGTGAATGGGTCCCAGACTGAAGATGCCTAATCTATAACCAGACAAAGGCTTTATAGGCTCTTTCTTTCACACTGGAGTTGCATATCTTTAGTTTTTTCCCTAAAAGCCATAGGGCCTTGTTTGTCTGGTTGTTTAAATGCTCGTCGCAGCGGACCTCTCTTTAAATGGTAGCACCAAGTAAATTTAACAAAAAGGTATGTGCAGATTTTTTTTCTTCAAAAATTAAACACATTTTTTAAATTTTTTTATATTTAAGTTTCTTCTACATTCACTTTGAAACCTGTTACTATACACTCACTCAGCAGTGGTGTAGCTAAGGGGGTGCGGACCGCACCGGGTTACACCATCTCAATGGGTGACACCAAATTGAAAATGGCATATTTACAGAGCAAACACAGAGCAAACACAGCTCGGTCTAACCGAATTTCATAAAAAGATAACCGATCACACGTAAAAGTTCCACTCATGTCCCCAATCCAAATACGTGCTTTATTTAAACGTTCAAGGTTGGTGCGTCAGGGATGAGGCGACCCTATAATTAGATGAATAGCTGAATGGTACATCCTTGAATCTCTTCTAGTACTCTTGCTAAGCCTTCAATTCTTTCTTACGATCTGTGTCTGTGGATTCATCTGAGCGGAGCTTTTCAAAACTAAGTCTTATCAAAAACCATTTACGCTCCACCATGGAATATTTATGGCTTTCTGGTCTGGAGCTACTATCACTTGAAAGTGAGACTGTGAAAGATATTGATTTTGATAAGGTGCTGACAGGTTTGCAGCTTTAAAGACCAGAAAAAGTTTTTTTTTAATAAAATAAATTTAATTTTAAAATAAATATAGATTAAGGTTGTTAAAGTTTTTATATACATTTAGGCCTACCTACTATTGATTTGTTTTTGTTCTTGTCATTGTTATGATGTGGTCTTATTTTAGCATGAAGAAATCCATAATAAAAATCGGGGGTTGGGGGTGACACTATGTGTTTACCGCACCGGGGGACACCAACCATAGCTACGCCACTGGACACTCACTTTACTTATAGGCCCCTACTCCTAATTACTAACTTATAGCTATACACTGACAATGTACAGGGACAGAGTGCAAATTTAAACTTCTGCATGGCTTTCTTTTTTGTAAAGCATTTTAAGAAATTAAAAATTAATTTTCACTTTTTAGTGCGTTTAAACTCGTCTTTCATTGAAAGTCTTTTTCTAAAAGTGGTATTATTTTATTATTATTAATTTTGTTTTTATTAAACCACTACTAATAGCCTACCAACAGTAATCTCTCCCTGATAACTTTTTATTTTAAAGGGAGGGAACCCTTTTAAAATTTATAAAGCGGAAGTTGATAATACATTTAACGAAGTGTCTACACGTCCGGCGCGCCGGACGTGTAGTGCGCAAGATACACGTCCGGCGACTTGTCACGTGACCGCCGGACATGGCCGGACGGCTAGTAGTTTTTATAATTCCAAACGAAGTACGATTTAGTACATCTTGTCTGGTCTTGTGGTAGAGTGGTTGCTTGACGATAGGAATGTTTGAGGATCTATACCGGGGATAGGGTCGTTTTTTTTCTTCCCATTTTAATTAAAATATTTTGTATATATTTATATTATCATGTTCCTCAGCAACAGTAGTTTCATGAGAAGTTTTTAAATATTTTGTAGCAATTGAAATAATTTAAAATGAAATCTTTAACTTTTATTGGTTGCCACACTGGCCCCTAATTTATTTTATGGATTACTGGTACACAAAAAATAACAAACTAAACAAAAATGTTTACAAGCCACTTTCACTTAAGTTTCTTTTTCTATTATTTGCATTCAAGATACTCAGTACATTACTTGGTAGAGAAATAGATTTTAAAATTAACAATAGTTTTGAATTATTCGCAGTCACGTGACAAGGGTGACCGACACGATATCTCTCGCCACTTTGTTACGGCGGTCATGTGACTTGGTCGCCGGACACATAGTGCGGGAGATAGACGTCCGGCGCGCCGGACGTGTAGACACTGCCTACATTTAATGATAAACATCATCGAACAAAATCCCAACTAATGAATTACAACGTAAGTAGGCCTTAAACTATTAGTGGCTGTTATAGGCCCTATAGGCATACATAATATATGCACAAATGCATTTTCCAGACATTAGTCCTTTAAATTTTTTTAAAAATTCATATCTTGCATTAGTTAAAGTAGACAATCATTACTAAAAGTTAAGATACAACTTACTTAAACTTAAGACGAGTGACTGCAAACCGCTTAAACTTACTCTCAACAAACTTGAGCCAGCTTAAAAAGTCAGAGACTGACTATATTATAGAACTAAACTAAAAAAGCTCAATCATTTTCATTTTTATTAAATTTTCAAATGACCTATATAATGTAAATGTAATGAGTAATGAAATGATTTTAGATCTAGGCCTAGGTACTTCAGACTTCTGTGGAAAAAATAGGTGACATGAATGATTGGGTCATCCTCATCCATACATTTTTCAGAGTTGTGACCCCTCTCCCCCCATTGTCACAAATCATCACAAAAACTTAGCCCCCCCCCCCCTTTAAATATAGCATCACAAACCTCTGTCCGCAAACCCCCCCTTTAAAAAAATCCCTCTGTTCACCAAATCACCCCTCTCCCCCCATTTTCACAAATCATCACAAAAACTTAGCCCCCCCCCCTTTAAATATAGCATCACAAACCTCTGTCCTCAAACCCCCCCTTTAAAAAAATCCCTCTGTTCACCAATGTCCTTTACAAACCCTTGAATCTTAAAAAAATCACCTCTAATGGTCGTCATGGATATCAAATTATTCCACATTTGTTAGAAATATTTCCATTGAACAGTGGTTCTTAGGGAAGGGTTAAAATTAAAACATGCCCCGAGGACTGAGGGGCGGGGCGGAAGACACAGAAAATTGTATTTGTTTCCATCAGTAATTATTGCTGCCTTAAAAAAAATCAGTTTTTATCCATTTTGCTAAGCTGCAGTAAATGTTTTTCTGGTGAATTTTGTTTGCACATTACTTGTATTGTTACATATTTTTTTTCTTGTTTCTAGGAATTTAATTAATAAAATAAAAGGACCATAACTAAATTATTTAATTATTATAATTTTTATTACAATACAATTTATGCGGGAGGGGTGCGGACAAAGTTTTAAAATTGAGAAAAGATGCAACGCTGCGAAAAGGTTAAGAATCTCGGCCCTAGAACATTTATTAAGATCACCACCTCCCCCTTTTTTCTCTCATTTTCAGTTCCAATCAACTTTACTGGTAGCCCTTATTCTATGACTCCCGTCTCCACATTTCCACATAAATCCTTATGCCTTTCAATGTTACTACACCCCTTTTCTCCTCCTCCGTGTTGGCCTATAACTTGATCAGAGGCCATTTTTCAGACCTCACATACATGTACTGATTCTCTCAGTGATTGTAGTTTAAAAAAATGTTTGCGTGAAAGAACACACACATGAACATGAAAATTTATGCATAAAAGTAGAGCCAAATTTTTTAGCATAATATAGTTCAGGGGCATGAACAAATACAGGTTAAACTTTCAATGGATGAAAATATTTTTTATTTCCATTCTCTAAAAATAAAGGTCATGGAAAGGTGGGTGTACATTTTTATGAGATTAATAATATAACAAAAAAAAATCAACTCAAGGATGTTGCAGACGGGAAAATAAGTTAAGATATTCTTCAATTCTTAAGAAATCTGTTTTTTACGATTTTCCGATAATGTAGTAGAGAAGCTTCGGGTAATCTTTTAATGAAGATAACAATATATCAAATTCTGTTAGTCTTACAGATATTTAAAATGGTGTTTTTATTTGTTACTGTAAGTTAAAAGACATGGATTTATTTTAAAAATTTCTGTTTGTTTGTTTTTTGTTGTTGTTTATTAGAGTTCCTGAAAATGGGTAGGATAGGCATAAATTATATTGCAGATCAATATTTATTAAAACAAAATAATGTTAAAAACGTAAATATCTATTTATAGATACTTCTTTTCAAAACACGAAAAGTCTGACTCACTATTTCCTGAATATACATTAGATACTTCTTTTCAAAACATGAAAAGTCTGACTCACTATTTCCTGAATATACATTTCAAGGGCCTGGAATATTGTCGTAAATATTATTCAGTTATATATGTAAAATTTTGATTCTTAGATGTTATGACTTCGCAATAGCAGTTATCAAGTATTGCAAAAGGCCTTCAATTATTATCCTGGTAACATCAGGTCATATTTTTTGAGTAATTAATAAAAGGATTTGGCTTACTTAGGCTAACACTCAAAAAAGATTTTGAAATTGAAAGTGCATTTCATTGACAAAATCAAAATTTCTTGAAAAAGAACTACTTTTGGGTATGGCGTTCATTAGTTTAGTTACTATTGCATCATTATTAAAATATGCGTTATCAAAATATGTACAGATCCCATTTGATATTAGATTAATTGCCTCAACTCTTGCCTGCCTATATATATTGTTATTTTCAATTTTCATACCTTTACTTACAGTTGTCGATCAAAATTTACTGGCTTGAAAATGAGTTTTGAAAGCCAAGATGCTGATGTTTATCCAGGTATGCTGCTTGGCATAACATTATTTCTTTGTGTAATTATCTTAAGTAATCAAAGAAGTAATCTATTTTTCTTTATTATTAACTTTAAAAAAAAAAAATATATGTTTCTTCTTAAAATCTCTGATTGAATGATGATTATTTTTAAGGAGCTTGGTTAATAAAAAGAAAGATGGAAAAAACGTTTTCTGTTTGTGATCTTCAATTTTTGTTTATTCTTGTTTTGTTTGATATTTGCTATATTTCCTTTGTTTCATTATCGACTAATGAATATATATATAAAATTTTCATGAACATTTTTTATATTGTGAGGCTCAGCAGTGTTTTCTTATTTGCAACCCTTTTTTTAGGTGATGATGAAAGGAAACGAGATTCAAGTCGGAAAAGGGATGGAAAGAAAGAAAAGAAAGAAAAGGGCTATCAGATGTTTGAAGAGGAAGATTCAGAAGAAGAGCATCTAGTTTTAGCAGAAGAGATTAAGTATGAAAGAAAACTGTGAAGAAATGGAAGTTAAATTAGCCGATCAAATTAAGTATGGTTCTCTACTGAATTGAGTTGAACATTTGAATTGGAAATTAATTTAAACTTTCTAATTAGCCATTTAATTTGAAATTTTCTTTTATTATATACAAGTTTGAAGTTACAACCATGGCATATTGATAAGGGAAGAGAACATATCGGTACAAGATACACATTCCAGGCCACTCTCCATGTTGTTCCATTTATTAAATTTAATAAAGTATATGTTCCTTTCTTTACTGATTAACTACCAGATTGAAAAACCTGCTGTGGCAGTATTAAATCTAGGTCACATTTTCTCATTTTAGGTGTATGTACAATTTCAGCTGCAGTTTTCTTAATTACTAACATATTCTAATGATTAATAAACCATTTTGTCGGTAATTGAATTGACTATAAGATAAATGTAAAACATTTTTTAAAGTTAAGTTTTGTTAGGAAGTAATGAATTGTTAAATTAGTATTTACACCAGAAAAACAATAAAAAATATATAAATGTACCAACTTACGTATAAATTTTAAATTTCCAATATATATATATATATATATTGGAAAAGAATGTTGAGTTTATTTCTTTTATTTATATATATATATATATATAAATAAAAGAAATAAACTCAACATTCTTTTCATTAGTATTTGTTACTATCGGGGTTTCTCCAACCCAACCTTAAAGTCCAATGTGTTTTTCAACACACATTTATTTATAAATTAAAATCCCCAAGAAACAGTTTTCATTTACAATTAAGTTACATTAAGTGTATATTCCATAAACTCTTCAGTGTCCTGTAAATGTTTATTAATCTCTTTCTCCCAGAAGTCCAAGTAAAACTAAAAAGGAGAGAATTAAACCGAGCTTTAAGTTTCCAGTGACAGTGCGGAAAGAAAAAACAAAGGAAAAGGTTGAAATACATTTTTCTCAATAAGAACGTGTAGTTACAACATCTTGGCCTTTTAAAAGGGTCATTATAACCTCTTGACCTGTTACATTTCATTTATGAAAATTAATCTTATTTTAATTATTCAATCATTATTTTAAGTAATAAGGATCGGTTGTCATGGTGATTTGTCAGAGTTAATGTCTAATTTTTATCGAAAGATTCCTTGAATTTTGACATAAAAGTGCATCAAAGATTAAAATTGTTACTCAAACTCATACCAGGTCAGTTTCATTTAAATATTAATGCATAAAAGTTAATTTATTTCCTGTTAAATTTCAGGAGGAAAAAAAAGACAAAGAGTCAAAAGAAGAAAAGGAGAAAAAGAAAGAAGAAAAGAAAAAGAACAAAACAAAAGAGAAAAAAAAACTTAAGACGGTTCACAGTGATCCTGCCAACATCATAGTTGAAGCAAGTAAGGAACACGTTACTTTTACATGCACTTTTGAAATAATAGATTTTGAAAATACGTGTAAGCTTATCGCCACTGTATTGCTATTTATTCTGTCGGAAAGGACGCTAAAATAATTTATATATGTATATATGTCGCAATCCTTCTTAATCTGTGTTCTTATTTGAACAATATAGGTGTTAATGAGAATCCAATTTTTGGTGTGCCCCTTGCTACAGCAGTGGAGAGAAATAAGTCTCATGATGGAATAGAGCTTCCTGCTATAGTCAGGGAATGCATTGACTACATTGAGGAATGTGGTAAGGAATAGCACAAAATGAACAAAACCCAATTTGAAATTTGGAACTTGTCTGTGTTGTATTTGTATTTTAATCATTTGTGTACAATTTTATTTGTGCTTCTATTTTATGTCATTCCCAGCTGATTATTATGGTTGATATTTTCTTTGTGAGGATGCAAAAAAATTATTTTTTTAACAAATAAAAAACATTGGTTTTCCAGGCCTAGCATGTGAAGGCATTTATAGAATCTCTGGTGTTAAGTCAAAGGTCCAGCACCTCAAAGATTGTTACAACCGCCAGCAAACTGTTCACCTGTTTGAACATGAACCAAACATAGTAGCCAGTCTCCTGAAGCAGTTCCTGAGAGATTTGCCAGAACCAGTCCTGACGACTGCACTAATGCCAAAATTTGAGGAGGCTTCTAGTGAGTTAATGAAGTATTATTTTATTGTACGAGACAGACGGAGCTCTGTGTTACTTAGAAATAATGAAATACGAGACCCAACGTTTGAATGTGGAGTGCTTATTCCTAAATCATCAAACTAATCACACATCCATAACACATTTGAAAGAAATGGGACATAAAGTCTAATGCTTGATTCTTTACCAAACAGCCATTAAAAACAGCAAAAAGAAAGTCGAAGGCTTCAGTAAGCTGATCACTGATTTACCCACCTGCAATAGGTTGCTACTTAGCTGGATGATAGTTCACATGACACACGTTATAGAACTGGTAGGTGCTTTATACATATTTATCTGACAATAAATCATGTTAAAACTTTGTGTAGATGTCATTCTTGTCTTTGTATAAGTCATATGTAACATTTTCATCTCAAAGATATTATTTTTATGTCCTTTTCTTATTGATAGTTGGCTTCCAAAATTATTTTTTAAAATTATTTAAAATATAAACGTGAACAAAAGTTATACAGGCCACACAAATAGTTATTCAACTGGCTGTTGTTAAAAATGGTTAAAATTTGACATTGTTAGATATAAAGGAAAGATTATGTATTTTAAAATGATTAAAACGAAGAAATAAATACCTTTACTGTAATAATCTATTTGTTATTAGTAATTAGTAACGGTCATGTCTAAGTGCTCGAAATTTTCTTTCAGGCCAAGGAAAATAAGATGACATTACAAAATGTCAGCATTGTTCTTAGTCCCACCATGCAGATTAGTCACAGGGTTCTCAATATTCTCTTCTCTCATGTCCATGAGCTCTTTGGAGATGTGCTTTTACGCAAGTAAGAGAATTAAATCATTAATTTTTTTTTGTTTAAAATGATGTTTTCATTTCAAACAAAATTTTAAAAACTTTTTAATAAAATGGTATTTTCTCTCGGTAGATATGTACCCCCACTAAAACCTGCACATTCCAAATGGTCGCTGGAATTGCCAGATAATCCTTCTGCATTAGAGGAGGAACTAGCTAAACAGGTTTTATTTTTTTGTAATCATAAGATATAGGATTAGGAATATCTGTAAAAATTATTTAATGTAATTAAAATTCGTTGAATCAGTAAATATAAGTAGAATTATTTTAACAATTTTATAATATTTAAGTCTTGAAAAGTGGACAAATAGTTTTAATAGATTAAAAAAAAAAATCTTTCAAAACCTTTAGATTTTAAGAAAAAAAATGCTTGATTCGCATTGATAATTGTCTTTAAATTTTGCATGCTCTTTTTCACAGGAATCTCTTCTGAATCAGCTTCATGCAGAAGTCAATTCTGGAAGAGAAGATCCAGTGATTGTAGATCAGCTTTGGGAGGTTCAGAGAGTGGTCACTCAGCTCAAGAGAAAGGTTTAAAAAAAAATATTTTATGAAATTATATTTGCGTTTAAGAATGCTAATTATTACTAATTATGCAACGTTTTGAATGGTTTGTCACTGAGATGTATTAAATGTTTCAATGTTCTTGTAGCTGTTGACTAGTAAAAACACTAATAGAGCCCTACTTCCTCTCAGCAGTCATTAACACTTCACTTTAAAATTAAGTTTTTCTTGAACATTCAAGAAAATTTAAAACAATATCTAGGTCATCCTTGACGTATGAGGTGAATATTTTTAAATATTCAGCACTCAATACTAATTTATATGGCAGCTCCGACATAACAGAAAGATATTTTTTGTCACATTGCATACCTTACTCCTACCTATAAATTGATTGACACCCTTTGTCTATAAGCAATTGAGGTAATTGAAAAATACAGTTTAAAATGTGAGCTGATGTTACAATTCAAAATATTAGCCGGTGCATTTTTTAAAATAGAAATATAATTAAAATATCTAACAATTTTAGGTCAAATAAGATATATATTTTTTCCATATCAGATAAAATAGATGTATATTTATTGTTATCTAACTAATCATATTTATTGTTATCTAACAGACTATTGATAGCATTCTTTATAACAAATTAAAATGCATTTGAAATTTTTCCCAATCAAGGGAGGGGCTTTGGGTCGGTAAAGCGCTGCACATTTAATCAGCAACGTCAATATCAAAACAAAAAAGGGGAAGGGGAGATAAGGTTAAATACCATGGCTTGTGCTGAATAAAAATTAGGTTAACATACAGGCTATAAAGGTATATTTATTGTTATCTTAACAGATCAAGACTGCAAAGAAAAATGTTGAAATGGGAGAAAGACGCCGCACAAATTTGGATGCCAAGAGGTCCTCTACTGCATCTATCCCATCATTGAGTGCTCCAGAGGATCTGCACCTTGATCTGAGGCCAGCACCAGAACCCATGGCTGCCAATGTTACAACAGTTGTGGCTGTTGTAGAGAAACAACCTGAAGAGGAAACTCAACCCAAAACTGAAACGGTTGCGGAGGTTAAAAAGGGAGTTAAGTTTGCTGAAAGCAGCAAAAAAACAAGAGCTCCGCAGATCGGGGACATTAAAAAAATGGAAGATGACAAGAAAGGAAAAGAGGTTGAAGAGAACGTTGCAAAGGGTTCTGAGGAAGATGTAGTGGATGTAGTGGCAGGGACAGAGATTGAAGAAAAGGATGAGAATACAGAAAATCGCTTAGAGGAAAAGGCAGAGGAGAAAGTTGAAGAACAAAAGGATTCAATTGATGCATCAGTTGATGTTAAGGGAGAGGAGAATCAAGTAAAAGAAGCAAGTAAAATTTTAAAAGAAGACAAAACACCTGAATGTGAGAAACCAACAGTTGTCATTGCTGAACCTCAGAGCAGTGAAGAGGGTGATGTGAACAAAGTCGTCAAGGAAGCTGTAGAGGAAAAGTCAACTGATATAGTTGTAAAATCAGCTGATGCCGAGAGTACCAAAGAAGAACCCATTAAGATAGAAGAAGCAAAATTAGATGAAAAAACTAAAACTGTGAGTAGATTCTCTGTTGAAATGGTCCCTGACAAAAGTATTACAGTTCCTCAGGGGAAACCATTAGAGCCTGCAGAGGAGAATGCAGCAGTTCCTGTCAGTGAAGTGAACAGGACAGTCCAAATTGAACAAGTTAAGCCAGAGATAAAGCCCCAACAAGTGGATGTTCCACCACAGCCTAAAAAAGTGGAGTACGTCTACAGGAAACCTCCCAATCCGCCATTTATGTCCACTGCACTCCTTCAACCAATGAAAGCTGAAATTCCTAAACCTAAGAAACCTGTCGAGGAAAGTGATGCCAAAAAGGAGCACATCCGTATGTCAGAAGAGCTTAGGGAGTTGGAAGAGGAGCTTTTAGGGGAGAAGAAACAAGTGCTCCCGAAAAATGAGGATGATGAAGAATATGGTAATTTAATTTTTTAATAACGGTAGTGTTCTTGCTATCACAAGTCTGTCCTTTGAGGCAAGTTAGTTCTAAAAACACTCAATGTAATCAGCTGACAGTTTCACATAAATAAAGATGCTTGATGTTGATTTTTTTTGGTTGTCAACAATTAGTTTATCATTACTGATTTTAAAAAGTGTAATTGTAATGCTTTAGTTATGATTTGAGAATTTAAAATTTATAGCTTTCTTTTTATTGGCATTTTTTCACTCAATTAATTTGTAATTATTGTTAAAATTAGTGTGTTTCAATTTTGTATTCTAGATATTCCAGAAGATGTTGATATTGAGCAGCTATTAGATGAAGAATATGCCTTGAAGTTGGAGGAGGAAGAATTACTTGCTATTGGTAAATCAATGTGGCTTCAAATGTTGTCTTATGAACATAACTGTCTAATTTTAACAAAAAAAGAATTAGTTAATTGAAAAAATAATGTAAAATAGAAAAGTTTTTTAAATTATTATTAAGATAATGCATTTCCTGAAATCACCTCTGCCATTTCTCCCAGTTTAATATCCCATAAGTGGATGGATAACAGTAGCGAAGAATCATTTCAAATAGAAAATATATTGTTTAATAATAACATAAAATAAACATTTAAACATTAGCTTTTGTGCAAAGTATATTTATTCTCTACAAAAATATTTAGTTTTAGTACATAATACAAATTTGCTTTAACCCCCACCCCACCCAAGTTTTGAATTTTAGTAATTAATCTATTTGAAACCAGTATGGTTTAAAAAAATCACCTCAAATCAGTTATAATTGTATAGTATAAAAGTGTTTATTCTACTGGACATTTACATGCATTGATGCATGTTATTTGTAGCTGATGAACTGAGACAGAAAATTGCCACAGAGCGCAGTGAGATGGAGAGACTTACCCAAGAGATTCAAGAACTTCAATACCTCAGGCAAGATTCTGATCTAGAGGACCTGAGCACCAGCTCATCTTCCAGCGATGAGAGTGAAGATGAGGATGACATGCAGGAACTTTTGACGCAGCTCATACAAGACAATGAACATCTGGAAGTAAGTAGGACAAAACGAGAAGTTTTAACTTCTTTAAAATTTAATTAATTTTTTAGCAAAGAAATAAATTGATTTTTTCAGATTTATAAAGAAAATAAGACTGTTTAATTTATTGTTGTTAATGATACTTCTTGATGTAATAGGTTAAAAAATTTGAGGTAAAGTTTGAAATAGCAAAACAATTATTTTTTATTATGTTTTACAGATGAAGAATGCAGATCTATGCCAAAAGATTCACGAAGAAAGAATGATTTGCTTAAGTGTTAAACTTCAGATAAGGCTTCTGCAACAAAAACATTTGGAGACATCTTATGGTTGAGAAAATTGAATTCAAACCCAGTTAGAAAATATAAAATTGTTACATGTGTTCAAAGATTTATTGTGAAAAAAGATAGCAATTACTTTAAAAGATTTATTTCAGGAGACCTTGTTGATTTACAACTGCAACCAACAAACAGAAATTTAGACCAAAGACCATTTGTCTTGGACAAATATTATCTTTCAATGGTTCTTTATTTTTACACTGCTGGAACTACAAAGTTGCTGAAAATTTGCCATTATATTTACACACAGCCATTAAGATTTCTTGGTATTGTTATCATTACAGCCAAATTTACATTGAATTTTTTGTACCTGTGATATCTGAAATAAATTGTGGTTTTCATTTAAAAAGCTGAAAAAAGTAAAATAAAAATCTTTAAGAGTAAGAGCATCAAATTTTTTTCTTCAAAATCTAGCTTTACAATTTAGCGCTTTACGCTGCATCTTTTTTTTTAAAACTATGCAGGAAAAAAGGAATAATTATGAATGTTTTCACTGTTTTCACAAACACATGCAAGAAACATGTAAGAAAAGCAAAGCAATTAATAAATAGATTGTAGACAATTCAGCCTTATGAAGGGACTTTTCCAATTCTTGTATAATTTTAGTAATTCTTAAACATTCCTTTGAATTGATATATTTCAATTTCTGTAGTTTTCATTCATCTAGGAGTTTCACTTTGTTGGTTAAGTAATATTAAGTATTATAAAGACATTAAATCAATAATTTTTAATTCAGTTATCAAGCACTCATCATTTTAACCTTTTCGCTACTGATGACGTCGACACGATGTTTCGATCACCCACTTTCAATTACCAAGGATGTCACATTGTCATCATAACAAATAGGCAAAGAACTTTTCTGAAAAGTCACGTTAACGTCATATTTCAATGCTATATATATTTCTTTATTCGTTAATCCATAGAGAAGTTAAAAAGTGAATCGGATAGAGAATAAAAAATATTGAAAATTTCTTTGAGTCAGCAAAAATGGATGCCAAAACCAGCGGTAATGAAAGAGTTAAGAGCTGTTCATAAACACATTAGTAGTTGTATGAACAGTTTGCTAATTAAAATAAGATGAGCAATTTCATAAAGATAGTAGTAAAAAATATTTATAAAAGTTGAATTAAAAAAAAAAGGTTCCAATTGTTTGAGTTCAGTGAAAAACAAAGATATGCAGCAGCTCTTACTCTTACAATTGCACCCTTATTAAAAAAATTGCTTTGAGAAAACTCTGCGTAATTATGTGTTAAGAGATTTAACCATTTTTAAAAACATTTTTGCTACTAAAAGTGCTTTCCATAAATTAATGGGACAATAAATTGCATTGATTAAACTGTATATTTGTGTGTCTTATCCTTAGCTAGGATGGGGTTAGCTAGCAGAAAAAGTTTAAATAAAAGTCTCTAGTCATGAATGTAAATAATGAATTTTTTGCTTATTGAAAATGTGGAAAATAATCTCTAAGCTATTTTTCTTGTGTTGTTTAAATTGTTCATTTCATCTACCCTGAAATCATAAAAACTATTACATTTTAAATTATCAAAGGTTCTCACTATTTTTATGATGAGTTCAGGTGAAGGATATGGATCCATATCATATTAAATTTTAGCCCCGAGAAGAATTCATTGAGAAATTAAATTCACTGACTCTCTGAAATTAATTCATGTAACACCATTAAGAACTCACAAGATAGGTCACCGGACTACTATGGCAACCTTTTCAGCAATTAAATATTTTAGTGTATCTTGTCTGACCTCTTGAAATAATAATTGTGCTGTTCACTATATAATCATGTTTAATTAGAATGAGTTATGTTTGAATGCATTGTTGAGAGATTTTGTGGCATTATAAATAAAATTGCATTAAATTTTGCAAGAGTTTCTTTTCAGTTTTGAGATGAATTCAGTCATTGTACCTCCCCACAGTCAGTTCGTCAAAACAAGAGTTTGTGGTTAGATTTACATCTAAGGTATAAGTTCTAGCATAAACTTATTGTGAACAAATGCAGATTTCTGAATTCCAATGATATTAAAATATCAAGATGTCATGTTTAACTTGTGTAAATAATAGTAAACAATTACAACTATCACTCAATGATTACATTATAAATTATATATTCAAATACTATTAACACAAATTGTACTAAATTATGATATAGTATAAATGAATTCCGTGAGTGTTTAAAATATTTTTTTGAGGCTCTGAATTATAACCTTCCCATGTCATGTAAATCTGTACTTGTTAAGGTTTTGAAATGTGAAATATCACTACTTCTGTCTACTATACAGAAGAGTGCAAAATGTGTAATAAAAATGAATAGTTTGCTACTTGTTTTTCAGTCCTGAGACTTTGTAATCGTGTGTACTGTTATACTCACTAACACTGTAATGTTTGGGAGATAAAGTCAGACTACAGAGTGAGAACTGAAGCTTAAACAGAGGGAGAAAAGTATAGACAGAAAGAGCCCTGAGAGAGTGAGAGTAATGAAATAGAAAGAATAGGCTGAATAGGGACACGGAGAATTATTTGTTATATTGGTTTTCTTAGTTAAAAAAATAAAATGAGTAAAACAGAGTAGGGTTAAACCTGAAAAAATAAACGCAACAAAACAGCGAATGTGTCGGCAGAAAGCCTTCGTCAGCAAACAAAACAACAGAAAAAAACGGTATAAAAATAAAAGTAAGAAATAGCACTTAGCTGGTAAGTAGTATCTGTGGGCAGCAATAGAAGTTAAGGAGGTTTATTTATCATTATTTTTACTTTTTCTTTGCCTGGGAACATAGGCCATTAACAATTTCTTTCCAAACCTTCCTAGTTATTATCTCTAATCCTAACTCAAAATCTTAATTATTTACTTTTCTTTTTGTCAAGTGTTGCGAAATTTTTATTTTCCGTAGTAAACATAAAAATTAAAACACATGGCCTCAACTTCCGGTTTTACAACAAGTTTATGAGTTGATTGCAATCTAACAACATTAACGTGTTCATATTGCTTGTATTATTAGCTCATGAATATTTCATGCTAAAACAATGGTTAAAATAAGTAAGCACAATATGTTAGTCCGATAATGATCTATATACTATTTAAAAATATTACTTATTTACTCTTAAATTAATAAAAAAAATGTCAAACAGTTGACTCCACTCACTAACTTTAAATTTAAACATTAACACCTGGGTATAACAATTTGAATCAATGCCACAAGTTACAAATTCAGTTAACTGGGTGTGGGACCACATATCTGATTCAGCTCACTAGGCTGATAATTGACTAGACCTACGGAATGATAGATATTATCATTACCTATCTGCCTATCTATACTATTATACATTTTCCAATTACTTCAAAAAAGTATACAATTATTATTATTATTAGTCATTAGTGATTAGTGGCCTAGGCCAAATTAAACTAAAAGTAGACTATTTTTTATTATTATAATTAAGCCTACTTTTTTTTTTTTTTTTACAAGCTTGGGTAAATTACGCAAACAAAATCGGTCACTCATTTCCCATGACTGCCATCTTAGTTGCCATGACAACAGACATGTCATAACAACCAAGAGATGTCAGCCTGTAGTGCAAACATTGGTCATAGGCATAGGTCTGCCAAAATGGGAAGTGGAAAGAGAGAATGTGCTGTTGTAGTACTTACTTTCTGAGAGTCAAGTGAAACATAAATTAGGTGGTATAAAACGTTAAAATTTAATTAATTTTTGTTTAAAAAATACTTTCCATCCTAAAACCTACTGCTCTGTCTAACCCAAATGTTAAGTCAGTATCCCCAACTCAAGTGTAACCCCTCTCCCCCCCCCAATTTAGTCCCCACTAACTTAGGCGTAAATCTTCAAACCTAAATTCTGTTACCTAATGCCTAACGTGAACACTAAAGCCACATGTTTGTGTGCTGCAGTTACGTACGGTACTGAGAAAATCATAAATTTAAAGATACAAGTTATTTGATAAATATTTCAAATAATAAAAAAGCAGAGAATCTTACACAGAAACTCAAAGTGGCACGGATTGCATAATTTTACTCAAACTTGAATTATGCTATTTTTTAGAATAAATAGAAGACAGAATCTATTCTAAGCTGTGGTCTACATTCTATTATTTAAAATTATTAAGAGTACATCCTATGATAGAATATCGCCTGGCAAACTATAGCCTAATGCATATGCCGTAGCTGTATAATATAGCCGAGAAGAGTAATGACAGCAGTTGAGGGGTGTAGACCGCATGGGGTGATACCCATTGGGGAAAAAGGAGTAGTAGTGTTACACAAGTGGTTCTAAGTGGAAGATTTTAAATCTGACACGAGCTTGTTTGATTCTGTGTTATGAAAGATCTATATGTATGTAAATAAAAGAGCAGGGTGCCAACAGAATGTCTAGAACAGAGTGCTACCATAAGATCTGTCCCTTGATCAGAGATACAAATAGATTGGAGTGACACAAGACAGAAAGGTGCCACGAGACTTCAGGGCATGTTTCATTAATTCAGGTTGCCATCTGATGAGGCAGGCAGAGGTCCGTGGAAAAGTTTGGAGGGGTAACACCATGAGTTTACAGCACTGGGTGACATGAAACCCTAGTGACGGCACTTCTATAGGTCCAATATATTCCATGGCATCACACCTGAAACAGTAATCTGTTTATTTGTTCATAGTTACAGTGCCCAGGGTGAGGCCTGGAAATGCCCCACAATGCAGCAATAATGCTATATGATTTATCCATGTGTATGTATCGAAAAATTGTGATGTTGGGGCTTGCTCTAGTTGGCCCTGGGGCCGCTGCCCTGTCGCTCCCCCCGACCCCCCCTGAGTTGCAGTAGGGCATAATCATGAATATGCAATATTCCAATTGTGATTGGCCAATGCCAATTTAGCAACCATTTTTAACTGTTGTTTTTAAAATTAAAACAATTTCTTTCATTGCAATTGATACGCCTAGGAACCAAGATTTGTGTCTTAATATTTGTTTAAATTTGAATGTGCTGTAAAGTTAATAATGACAATTATTAATGAACTTCACTACACAGGTAAGAAAAGCAAGCGGCAGTCAACTAAACATAGAGTCAAGGTAGAGAGAAAGGTAAGCATACTTATAACTCTTTCCTCTGTATTCAAAAAATATTAAACTTAAAAATTTAAATAATCAGTTAATTTGCATAAGAAATTTTAGAGGAAATCCATAAGCCAATTTTTGTTTATGCTTGCAGGTTAGAGAACATAACAGAAAGCAGAAGAAAGCAGACAAACTAAATTCCAAAAAAAGTATGTTATATAACCTTTTCTGCAAATTACTTAATATCCTTTAGCACAGCAGGTCGCAACCGCTTTGGGGGTTGCACGACCCTTTCCCAGGGCTCGCCTAAGACCATCTGAAAACAAATATGCTCTACAGTTATGAAATAGCAACGAAAATAATTTTGTGGCTGGGGTCGCCACAACATGAGGAACTGTATTAAAGGGTCACGGTATTAAGAAGGTTGAGAACCACTGCTTTAGTAGAAGAAATCAGACCAACAAAAATTTCAGTTTTGTGTCACTCAGTTATACATGCCAATTTAGTTAAATTAAAAAAAATAATAAAAATTCAGACATACTTTTAAGCTGTTTTGATGGGGTAGAGAGTAGTCTTAAATCATTGGTAATGGGCATAATTTTAAGGGCTACCTTATTTTTCACAGTAACCAATATTTAAATTCTTTCACTTCCTGTAATCCTACTTCCGCCAACAAAAGGAAATCTCTTAAGTTTTTTACTGTTACTTCTGTTACTTGTCATACTTCTTTTGTCCTGTCTATTAATTAAGTTTAGCACACCTTGTTCTTATATTTTAAATATAGGCAGTAGTCCATAATGCTCTACTAGAAGCAAACGTTTTGTATGCTATAGAAGTATTTGTGTAAAAGGATGTAAGATACACATGTTTAAAAAAAAGTTGTAATTATGCAAATTAATTGTACATGTCTTTTTTTCTACTAGAAGTACGGAAGGATCCAGGAATCCCCAATATCTTGCCATTTAAGGAAGAAGTTCTTAAAGAGGCACAAGCTTACAAACAAAGGGTTAGTACTAGACTACTATGAAGCCAGATTTTTGGATTTAAAAATCATTTTTAAAGCTGAAAATGTAATGAATTATTCAGTGAAAATATAGCTCAAGTTTTAAATGAAAAAAATCTTTTTCACCTATTGCGAAATCTTTTACCTTATGTTTTTTATCTCTGTAAATTTGCAGTTGGAATTGGAAAAAGAAAAGAAAAAAGCATCAAGGAAAAAGGCAAGGGAAAGACTTCAAAACCAGAATAGGAATCTGTCTGATTTTGTTAAAGATGCAGAAAAGCGCCAGGCTGCCTATGATAGACAGGTAAACATAAAGTTTTATTGAATGAAGGAATTCCTAAATATATAATGTTCATAGTGCAACCATGGCCAGATGGTATAAAATCAGGCTAATCTAACTAGTTAGTTTTTTTATAAGACCTCTATGACTAACTAATTTGATTGTTTCTATTAGAACCATGGAGGTGATGAGCCAGAAAAGCTTCAAAATGCAAATAAAGTCATTGAGAATTCTAGGAAGACATTCTACAAGGAGTTCAAAAAGGTAACTTAAACTAACAAGTTTACTTTTTCTTTACCTTCCTTATAAGAGATGTGTTAAAACACAGATCCATAATAAGAGGGCCTCATTGTCTATACTCAGGTCGTAACCCATTCGCAATTAAATGTAGAAACACCACCTGGAGTACTAAGCAAAGGGAGATAAGTACAAGCATCCCAATGTTATAAAAATAATTGAATCACTAAACATCATGCAATTTTAACAAAACAAGAATATAATTTTTAAAAATAGACAAATGAATAAAATTTCTAAAAATATCCCTGTATATTTTTATTTACTTCTTTTTGCTGTAAAGCAACATAACCAGTTTTTAAAATTTCTGCATCATTTTAGGAGGTTTGCAGTGATTTTAGGGTTTCTTGAAATTTTGAAAATCAGTAATCCTTGTAGGAGAATTGTTGTTGCCCTGGTTCTACTACTGTCCTTGTTATCATCAGATGAAGAATGGTAACATGAACATTTTCTGCCTAATATGGGCCTCAGCATAAGGTGACAGCTGTATGGCATATTTGTTGTTTCCATCATCACCATGGCATAAAGCTGTACCATTCAATTTTCATTAGTCTACATAAACAGTCTGCAATAATATGCTGTAATGCTCTCAACTGGAAAGCTATCAATGCAACCTTTTATTTCTCTAAATCAGTCTGCTCAGTAACCCTGGTCATATTGTCATCAGACCCCACCAGTATCATTCTTCAAATTCGATTATTAGTCTCAGTAGTTTTATATAATATACGTCAATATCGTTATCTTCATTGCTGGTATTATTGTTCAGAGAATATCTGTATTGCCGCCATCAAACTAAAATATCATAGCAATAAATTCTCGTACAACACAATCACACATTCACTAATATTATACCAAATTTACAACTCGTAGCTCACAAAACGAAAAAAATAAAAATATCAGCTTTTTTAAAACAAAATAAAATTCATATTTTTAAATTAGCCCAATGCTATTAGCATGGAAACAACACTTCTTACGGGACCATCAGGTATGTGTACGTTACTAGCCGAAATGACACAATGGTTCACTTTAGTAGCGGGGGGAGGGGGGGACATGTCTCAATGGTAGCGAATGTGTTAAATTATTTGGTTGTATATATTATGGCACATGAGAACATTGGTTTAAGTTGTATGTTTATTACAGGTTATAGATGCTGCTGATGTCATTTTAGAAGTGCTCGATGCAAGAGATCCTTTAGGCAGTCGATGTTTGGAGGTTGAAGAGGCGGTACGGTCAGCACCTGGTAACAAACGCCTTGTTCTGGTTCTTAACAAAATAGGTAAATCCACGCTTTAACATTCAGTATTTTAATAATTTCTGGAATTTTTTTCTTTATCTGGAGAAAAGTAAAGCAGCCTTTTTAACAAAATTTTAACTTTCAATTTTACATTCTTTTACCATTATGTATATTGTATTATTTAAACAGAATTGGAGTTTTTACCATATGTTTATCCATTTCTCTGCATAGATCTTGTACCTAAAGAGGTTGTGGAAGCCTGGCTGAAACATTTGAGGAAAGAACTACCAGCCATTGCATTTAAAGCTTCTACCCAGCAACAAAGAGATCGTTTAGTGAGTGCACATAACTCTGCTTTATTTTAAATAAACTTAGTTTTAAAATACCTGTATTTTAGAAGATAGAGGATGTTAAAAATACTCTTTTTGAGTGCTCTAAAATTGATGTTGTTCCTGAGCTTTAAAATTCATAACTTTCTTATAATTTGAGATACAGTAATAAAATTGGTGGTTCTGTTCTGATAAAGCCAAGCTCTATTCAGGGGAATCATTGTATTTTATTTCATTTCAATTATGTAATTTTCAATTAGAATACCTAATCAAAAATGGTAACCATATATTTTCATTAAGTGTTTATTGAAGAACCAGGACCTCAAACAATCTGTCTATAAATCAGAATCATGATTATTGAGAGATAGTTTTAAAATATATTTTATTGAAGGGTCATTTACCCTGATTATATCTGGTTGGATAAGATTAATATTTTTCTTACCAGACACAAACTAAAGTTGATTACGCCGTAGCAAGTGATGATCTTCTTAAATCCAGCAACTGTCTTGGCGCTGATGTTCTAATGAAGCTGCTCAGGAACTATTGTCGTAGCACTGAGATGGCTATAAATGTTGGTGTTGTGGGTATGTGATAACCTTAGACGATTCTATGATGGATTAATTTTTAGATTGTATAGCTGCAGTTCTCTAAATTTGCATCTAATTAATTTTATGAAGGACATAATTTAAAAGAGAGCTGAATACTAGAACTTTTTGATGTGTTCATGTTTCAATGTTATTTACTTAAGTTTTCTGTAAAGGTTCATGTTTATTATGGAATGCGTTTTCAAGATCTGGTTATGAATCAACCTAAAAAACCCTTACGAAAGTAAATTAAAGTATTTGAAAATTTTGTTATGTAAAGTGTACAGTCATTAATTACTTACTCTTTTTAAAATTTCTTGTCTAAAGGATTTCCAAATACAGGAAAAAGTAGTATCATCAACAGTTTGAAAAGAACTAAGGCATGTGAAGTTGGGGCTATACCAGGAGTCACCAGGTGAGCTTTGTGTATTGAGAACAGTGCGGATTGTCCATTCTGGTGGTCAATTCATTAATTTTTAAAACAACAAAGGCAGTGTTTCTTTACCTTGTGCCTGTAGTTTTTATTTATTCTCTACCATTAGCCGTGGCCTAAATCCGGTTATATGACCCACTAATTCCAACTGACTTTTCAGAACAATGCAGTCTGTCCACTTAGACAAACATATCAAATTATTAGACAGCCCTGGTGTTGTCATGACTAACAGTCCGTCTGATGTTGCTGCTGTGCTGAGAAATGTTGTCAAGGTAAGACTGTCCTACATATTATTTGAAACTTGAATGATGCTTCAGCCCATACATTACACTAACAGATGATTCATCTTTTATTATTGTTTAGCTTTGCCACATTTTAACTCTTTGATACTATTAAGATGATCTGTGTGTTAATCAGATCTCATGTTTATAGCCAAGCATTACTCGTGAGGGCTTAATTTTCTTTTCAACAGTTGGAGTCTCTGGAGGACCCCATTCCCTGTGTGGAAGCAATATTGTCTAGGTGTCAGAAAATGCAGGTGAGTAGCTTTGTTTTAGAAAGACAAATAAAGGGTTTAAATGCATATAAAATAAATTCCCCCAAAAATGCTAAATTTTAGATATGCTTTTGTCCATCTATGGAAGTGTAAGAATGTAAATTATGAAGCTTAAAAATTGAATGGCTTGCCTCGTTGTGAAAAGAGGTTAAAAAAAAACAATAACAGTTCACCAAATGAAATTCAGAGTGATAGCTAACATAAACTTCAAAAATGACTAATTTATTTATAGACCTTTTCCCTTCTTCACATCATACATTGTTGGTGACACAGCCGTGTGTAATCATTTTAAATTGGTCGTATTTGACAAAAATTGTGTTCGCCTCTTTTTATTATTTTTTTTATAAGTGTTGTAAATAGTAGATTACTAGTAATCTTGTACTTAAACAAAAAAAACAGATGATGCTTCATTACAACGTCCCAGACTACAAAGATGTCAATGAATTCCTTACTTTATTAGCCACAAGAATGGGAAAACTGAAGAAAGGAGGCATACCAGATATCAGTAGGGCAGGCAGGCGTCTGCTTCAGGACTGGAACATGTAAGAACAAAATATTCTGGAACCATAATATGGCATTTAGACTTTTAAGTGAACCTTAAAGAAATCTAAATGATGTGATATACATAACAGCTGAAAATGGCACATATCGATATGTGTAAAACCTATTAGATATAAAGAAATGTTTGCCTCTTAATAAAATTGGTTGTAATTGATTTTTATGCTTCACTTCTAAAAAACACAGGGGCAAAATAACATACTACACCATGCCCCCTGAACCAGCCAATGATGCTGCCAGCCATATAGAGGCTAAAATTGTCACAGAATGGGGCAAGGACTTTAACATTGATGATCTGGTGGTAGAAGAGACAAGAATGTTAGCTGGTAGGCAATCTGTGATGATAGAGAAATGCTGGTAGTTAGAACTAAAGGTTAAATATGCACATCAAATTGTGGACTCACCAAATTGAAAGAAAGGGTCATACTGTGTCCCACTATGTCATTGCTATGCTGGTAAACCTGTCTCATATCTTTTTAACCATCTCATCTAGGTCTGAGAAGAAAAGATAACTCAATGTTGGTGTCATCAGTGGGCTCCCTGAAGGCCGTGATGAGAGAGGAAGATTTGGATGAGCAAGAAAAGGATGAGAATATGGGAGATGAGGATGGTAGTGATGATGACTATGAGGACATAGAGGAAATGGAAGATGATAGTAAAGAGGTTAATAGCTGATTTTGACATTTAAACTTCTAGTGATGTGTTATTGCAAATGCAAGTATACAACTTTATCTCATAGTTTGCCTCTCATATGAATTTTCATGTGACATCACAAGGTTTGAACCTGTTCTAACTAGCTTGCCAAATTCTTGTGTCAGTTTATGAAAGGGCTCTGTCATAAATTAAATGATGGAAGAGCTCTTCTCAAAGTTGTATTCTTTTATCTTATGCAATTTGTTTTTACATTTTTATGTGTATATTTTCTGTTGAGGTGTACTGTACATTGATCTACAGAACTCGATCAGCTTTTAGAATGTACTTCAGAACTCAAGAGAACTTTTATATAATATATATATATATTTAATTTTTTTAAACTATATAAATATATATTTTTTAAACTGTTTTATTTTGTTTTTTTTAAATTGAAGAAATTTCATTATGATTTTCACAGCTCAAAGGAGTAACAGTGACTTTGGGGAAAAATTCAGTGGATGGCAAGAAACAAAATAAAAGAAATGGACCTCTTACTACCAACAAAGGTAAACCAAGAGGTCCTCCACCAAAAACAGCACTTGAAAAAGTAGGTGGACTAACAACCAAGAAGAGCAAAAAGTTGGCTGAAAAGAAAGAGAAAAAGAAAAGGAAGCGAGCAGGTTGGTGGTATACTTTTTGTTGTAAATTTCTATGTTGATATGTGTTTAATTTTGATGCAAAATCATGTAAGCAATCAGCAATGGAAACGACCCATCTGCTGTTTTATACCCACGTCACCGATTACACCCCCCCCCCTCTCATTTCAGTTTTTATTACGAAAGTATTGCCAACAAGTTTAATAAAGTTGATTTCCAGACATATTTTTAGATTACCTTGAAGTGATTACTTTGGAAATGCTTAAAACAAGCTTTTCCCCTCAGAAACAAACTATTATAAATGTTCAATAAGTACAATTTCAAATAAAACTTCTAACATAGCTATTCAATTATTCCATTTGTTGCCATTGCTCATTTAATTGCATTCATTTTAAATTATCGGTTGGTTAGATAAGAAACTTGTAAAGCTCTTTAATAAAAAAAAAATTTAAATGTTGCATATTGTGTTATTCCAGTTGATAATTCATTGACATTGATTTCTGTTGCAGATGCTGTGGCTGGAAAGTTATCTAATGCGCTTGAGACAGCCCTGGAAGGACTTGGTGGCCCAGATTACAGCTTTGAGGAAAACTTTTCATGATCATAACATAGTGCGTTGTGGTGTATATTTATGTGAATAAATATGAATGAAATGCTTTATTGATGATGTACTCTTGTCTTTAACTTTAGCGATTAATTAAAGAAAAAAGAACACCAATTTTAAAAAATATAAACCAGTTTTATATCATTTTAATAATAGTTACCCCTGCATTATTAAAGTATTGGTCATTAAAAATGATAAAATTACAGTTAGTTCATCCTTATATGATGGCCAACAGGACAAAGTAAGAACATATTTATATATACCAGGATGACTATGTTAGTCAAAACTATCAAGCAGAATATGATCAAATAATGCATTTAAAAAATTGTTGAGATTCAAAAAACCACGTTTTATCCCATGAAAACCTGTGCTGTGACACGTCTTATTGTGTCCAGAGTAAATTATCATATGGAAAAGAGACATGTTAAGTACGTGGCTTTTAATTTTGGCCCCACATTATTTACTAAAAATGCATGCTGTGATGCAATTACCTGCACAAAGTTCAGTTCACCTTTCCATTGACATTAAATATAGTTTTATTTGTGTGTTCAGCATGCAAACATTTTGTTTTTTAAAAAGGGTCAAAAGGGTATGTTGTGCATTTGTAAGGGATGAGAGATAGTCACAACAAAGTAAATGCTGACAAAATTAACATGTTACACATACAGGGATCATCTTGCATTGGGAAATTCCCTAGACGGTATGTTGCATCCACATGATTTTACACAAAATAATGCATGGAATTCATTGAGAAACAAAACGGAAGCAACGTTATATTTTGTACCGGTCATGTTATATTTGATGCTGACAGTAAAGTTAAATTGCATTAACACATTATCATATTTCAACATTCACTTTTTTTTAGCTGACACTGAGTGTTGTACAAACTCTCCTAATTTCTCAGTTTCATTAGCATGTCAGTATACCATTTTCTTATTTGTGAGAAATATACACATTTTATATTTTCAAATGAATAAACCCTGTAGGTGCATTTTCCTTGTGGGTTATCCCAGGTATAGGAATATTGCTTTCTGATAAATTATGATGTGGGAATGAATATAAATGAGCTTTGTATAAAGAGTTGTTTGATATTATGCCGAACTATTTACTAAACAGAAATGTTCAAATTTTCATTAGCTAACCATTTCCAGTAGATGGTTTTTAACAGAACAAAATAAAGTTCTGGAAATTTATTTTTGAAATTTTTATAAAAACAAATGTAAAGAATTGCTTATTCTATAAATCCATTCAGCTTAAAAGCTAATTAAAAAGTAATACAGTCAAACTAAAGTACCATACCAAGCTCACTAGAAATATTTCTATCGATTGAGTTAATGGCTAAAAATACTACTAAAACTACAAAAGCCAAAATGCATGGAATGTCTATAACTTTTTTTTTTTACAAGACTCGCCTCCATAAAATTGTAGATTTAAAGAAACTGAATTAATATATATCCCAATTAAGTGTATTACCATAGGCATCATTATCATTATCAATAACATACAAAGAAATATAACATTTTTAAGACAATTTTTCTTTCTACATTTCAATAAAGAAAAAAATGTGAACAAGGAGTATGATATATTGACAATAAAAAACATACACAGTCATAATAAATAGTGATTTTTACTTCAATACAAAATAAAATCTTTTAGTACCAGTAAATAATAAAATGCCTAGCACATGAAATGCTGTATATGAAATGTCTTTTTTATACAGCAGTTCTGTAAATCAATGAAATCAACCCAAAACATAGTTATTTCCTCCAGGCTTCTCACATTAAGGTACACTTTTATCAGCCTTTCCTGGACAACAAAACTTTTATTATTTAAATAGTCACCATATCACCTATAGTTTACAAAAAATCATTTTCCCCATTTAACCATTATGTGAATCATTATTTTTTGTCAAGTTCCCACATTCCATCTTGCAATTCTCCTACAATTAAAATACAAATTAATTATCTTTTCAATATTGACACTACTTTAACTGCTGCAAAAATTAATGAATGCAAATATTCCAACTTTGATTAAAAATGCATTCAATAAAAGCTCACACTTTGTAAGGAAAATATATTCAAGATACATTCAATAAAATTGTTATACCTTTTACAGCAGTGGAACATACTGTTGGATCTTTAAATAAAATACAGTTTTCATTTTGTACATATTAAACTTAAACTAAACTTGTCAGTTGGATCACATGATTATCTGAGGATCAGGCACGGATTCAGCTATGGATTTGTGAGGTAATATACGGCCTCCATTGATATACAGTTCATCCTTCACAATCACATCTTCACCAAGGACTGATACATTTTCCATTCTCACCTGGAAATATTATTATAAAAAAATTAGTTAGAACTAGAACACAATTTCTTAAATTGTTATAATTATTAATTTTTAACAAAGTAAATGTTACTATTTTTTAAAATGTTTTTTAAAATAAATTTGAGGTCTTTATGGTACTGTATAGAAAATGTGATAGAAGATTTTAAAATAATTTTAAAGTGAAAAGAAAAAAACAGAAATGCCTAATAAGCTGGAATAATTTTGACAGTTATTTATACTAAAAAAAAGAGTGGGTATGTGGGATCCCTTTGGGTTGCTTATAGTAAGTACTTGGCATCTGTGGTTTTATGTAAGTTTTTAAACCACATTATAATATAATGAAGTTAATATTATATTAAAATTCTAGGGCCAAATGACATATTTTAATAAGGTTCATTAATTTATGGATATTTCTTGAGAACTAGACAATATACAATTGTGACTTTGTTAAATCCTGAAATCAACCCTTAAGTTTAATAGGTCTAACAATCTTCATGATCATCATGTCCCTTAGACCTTGGACTGTTGGGGTGCCACAGATGACATGTGAACTAATCTCCTCCATTCGTCTCTGTCTTCTGCACTGCGCACAGCATCACCCAGTGTTGGTCCTGTCCACTCTTTGATGTTATCCTCCCATCTTTTTCTTTGTCTTCCTCTTCTTCTCCCTCCTCTTGTGGTGCCCTGCAATATTTCTTGTTTCCTTGTTATGTAGCCGTACCATTATAGTTTGCGTTTTTCCACAGTCACCAGTAGGTCAGCGTACTCCCCAATTGCCTGGTGAATCCTTTCTTTCACTGTATCATTGGAGATATGGTCCCTATAGCAGATGCCTAAAATGCTTCTGAAGCATCTCATCTCCATCGCCTTTATTTTCCTTTCAAGATCTGCTGTTAACGTCCAGGATTCGCATTCGGGAAAATGGAGAGGACTAATGAGCGCATCAGCCTGATTTTGGTACTAGGGGCTATATTTTTGTAATTCCATATTTTCTTGAGCCTCTTTAGTGCTGTTGTAGACTGCGCAATCCTGGACATCTGTTCAGGCTTGGAGCCTTCTTCTGAGACTATTGTTCCTAGGTATTTGAAGCGGCCTACAGTCTCTAGTCTTTCCTCCTTACTTGCATCCAAAACAACACAAACTCATCCCCAATTATCAACAACATTATCACACCCACTTCCCAAAAATACAATCAGACCCACTTCCCAACAATACAACCAGACCCACTTCCCAACAATACAATCAGACCCACTTCCCAACAATACAATCAGACCCAATTCCCAACAACAAAATCTCACCCAATTCCCAACAACACATTTCCAGCCAATGATGCAAGACTCCAGCCAAGAATGAGACTTTATGTGAGCTTCTTTGAGCACTGTACAACGCTTAATGCAGACACCATCTTCAATGACAACATTTGGACCTATGGTGACATTGGGACCTATCCTACAGTGGTTACCAATTTTAGCTGTGGGGTCCTGGTGGATATAAGAAGCATGATGTGATTGCTGTTTAAATTTGTTTAAACACTTTTTATTTTACTCACTGGAAACCAAAACACCTTAATGAAGGGATATTTTATATTTTTTTAAAAATATATTTTTCAAAATAAAAATAAATTTTAAATTGTGGAGGAAGGGTGAAATGATCACCACACACTTTTAGGGAGTCTCAGATATTACTGCAGTTTTTTAAATCTCTCTGAGCTGCTGAGCTTCTTTATGAAATATTATCAATTATGGTATACAAACAGATTAGGCAAATGTTAATGGCAAAATTGATTTTAATTTATATACTCTAGGTGTGATGAACCTGACTGAGAACCAAACTGATAAATTAATGAGGTATAGAAAGATTTTCCATTTGATAAATTTCACAAATAACATGAGCTTCCATGACACACTGAGTAAATCAAATGAAACAAGCGCAACACTGTTTTTTTTAAATTATATTAATTAAAAGTGTAAAATAAATAGAATACTATAACTTGTTATTAGCAAATTTCAGTTTATCATAATTTCTTATGTGAAAATGATAATAGTTTTAATAAAAATGATCATACGATTAGAACATTTCCAACAATTCCTTGCCCCTGATGTAATTTTTCAGGCTGTTTAGTTTTCAGTGAAGCCAAATACATACACATGCCAGTAAGGAAATCTTTGGGCTGACCAACATCCATCCAGAAACCTAATAGTAGTAAAAACTTTGGTTTGAAATGTAATAGTAATGTAAACTTTAATCAAACAATTATGCAATTCATCTCTTTTTTAAAGCAGGATTATTACCTGTCAAGAGACACAATGAACAACATACCAGAAGTTGCTTTTTAAGTTCTCAATCCGTTAATTATCAAATTAAGAATAAATGTATTTTTCTTAAACAATATATCCTGTTACTTCCAAACCAAAGAAAAATCTTCCATGGAAACCTTAAATTTGAACTTGACTACATTTCATTTACTTCACCTGAAATTTATTTTTACAGTTGGAGCAAGTTAACTGCAAGAGAAGAACCAAAAGTTGCATATCCATTGTGGTAACTTTGTCATTAACAATTATCAGTGGTACAAAATAGCACCACAGACCTCAGTAAAATTAAGTTCACAGCCCACATTGGGCCAACAATCAAAGACTACATTGGGCCAATATGAATAGTACAAATTGGGCCAATAGTACAATTTGGGCCTACAGAACACAGTACAAATTGGGCCAATCATACAAATTGTGCCTACAGTACACAGTACAAATCGGCCTTGTATTTACTTATATATTTTTTTTTTTTTAA